TTATTCAAACGTAAGGGTGGCCCATGTTGTACAAATGGGTGAGCACATATGTACGTACACGCGAAACGTGTCAACAGGTCGAGCTCTTAGCACATGCGGTTGTACCGCTTGCTAGTTTGCCTGTACCCACTGGGTGTTGGGAGTCCATCAATATGAAATTTGTGTTTTGCCTACGGAAGGATTCGGACGGCAACACTGGTATTTTAGTCTTTGTTGACCGATTGAGCATGATGGCTCATTTAGCGGCTTTGCCTGATTACATCGATGGTGAAGGTATAGTGAATCTGTTAATTGACCGTGTGTTTCATCAACAAGGTTTGACTATATCAATTGTCTTTGATCGTGATTCACGTTCACTATAAAGTTTTAAACTTCCACCTTCAAGGTGATGGGCACCACATTGGACACGCCCACAGAGAATCATCCGCAGACCGATGGTCAAACTAAGCTTGTCAACCGTGTAATTGGTGACATTTTAAGCGTTTGTTATGCTGATGCGCCCAGGCGTTGGAGCTTAATGCTCCCGGTGGTCGAGTTTGCGATAAACAACGCTGTTCATGCCTCTACTGGCTTTTATCCATGCTTCGTGAATGGTCTTACTCACTCACGCTTTCCATTAATGCTACCATTCCGTGAACCAGGGCTTGGTGAGGAGAGGTTGACGATCGGCTTGCTGATTTTAGCCCAACTACTCTATATCAACAGGAGAGCGAGTCTCTCGCTACGCGATTGAATGTCTTACGACATGTGCGTGACGCAATAGCTGATATCCAGGACAAACAAAGGAACAAACTGATGCCAAAGTCAGAAAGTGTTTTGAGAGTTGTAAGGCTGGAGACCTAGTCTTACTTAACGCTAAGAATCTACATACCAAGGTGGTGTCAGCGGTATGCGGGACTAAGTTGCGTCCTCGCTTCATTGGACATTTTAGGTCGTGGCCAAGAAGGGACTAGCGTAAACGCTCAACCTTTCATGCAAGATGCGAAGACACCCAGAGTTTCACGTCGGCTTGCTTAAGCCTTGCCTTGATCCATCGCTGGCGGATCACGAGGCACTTGCATTGAAGGAGTTGCACAAGTCGAGGAACCCTCAAGAGAAGTTTCAGTTGTCTGTCAAGACGTGCCACTCAGTGAAGAAGCAATGCACCTCGTGAGCTGACTCGTCGACGACGCGTCAAGATACACCTGCCACCGCCTCTCTCGTCGACGAGCAAGCGGATCAACAGTACCATGGTGAACGTCTCCTACAGCGACGTCATTGCGACGGTCTATACCAGTACTTGGTACAGTGGCGGGGGTATCCAGAGTAGAAAAACTCATGGGATTACGAAGTGCCACTGCGGCAGGATCGTCCGTACGCCGTTGACTTTTTGGATCGCTTCTATAAGGTCAGTCGACCCATACCGCTATCCACTAGTCGGTGTGGGAGTGGAGAGGTTTGCTTCAGCAGATGCACTGGTGCGCGGGTCCGTAGATGCCGAAGCATAGCGGTGCGATAGAATGATCGCAGTTGGCCTCTGGTGCTTTAGTTTGCTGAATTAAAGTATACTTCGCTCGAGCCGAACGTCAGCATGTGGACTGCTCTCTTGTAAGATTCCACAGGCTTGATAGATGACGAGCTTTGTAAGACCAAAGCGTAAAGACGACATCATTTTCCGCCTCCGACTCACCGGAGAAGGACGACAAGTATTGTCCGCAAGGCAAATACTGACGCATCTTGTGCTTGCAGAATCAGTCTGTCGACGTACTCTTAGTTGGTCATACGCTCGACCCACAAGTATCTCACTCTAGTTGCCTCCCACTCCGATAGTGTTAAGGCTGTGGAAGCATTAAGTCTCGTTACCCATGTGGCGAGTGACTGCCCGGCAGTCTGACGAATGCGTTCATTCACACTCGGTCGTTTAAAGCGGTAATTACTGTGAGCAAACGTTGTGACTACACATTGTGCTTGACCCCGCAATCATCAACCGCCTGAGATCTAATTTATCCAATATAAATCAAGATTTGTGCAACACACCCAGCGCAGAATCGACGGCTGCACGCTGTACAGGGGATGAAGGTACATCTTCGAGTTCCACGAATGGATTAGAGCGACGCGCGTGGCTTTACGAGCCGGAGGAGTAGCTCGAGGTGGATCAGAGACACTCGACAAGACAATGTCACTCTTGTAGTCACCATATTCTCGTAAAAGAACTTCGTAAGGGTTTTGGACAAAGGATTTGACTCAGTCATTTTAAGATGTGTTGTGAACGCGATGGCCAGGATCCAGAGCTTTGGCAGACCTCAAAGAGCAGTAGAAGCATTTTTTTAACACAAGGGTGTCGACAGTTTGATGGGAAAGGTTGAAACGGAGTTACATGGCGGTTATTGAACTAGTTATGTTGTGTGTCCACACTAAGTCTAGGTCAGTGGATCTGAGAAGTACAGTATTGGTACCATGTAGGTACGGTAATACCGCACATTATCGGTTAGGGATAAGGGATAAGACCTCTATCATAGGATCGCAATGTAGAAGTCATTCAGACAAGGTTTAATGGCTTTATTACCGTAGCTAACGAATAAATAAAGTTCAGTTCCCCTTTTGAATCGTTGAACACAAGTGCCTAGTCAAGGCGTAGTGTGTAGTTTAGAGCATTAGCCTTGTGAAGGCGTTACTCTTGTTCAACTAGTAGTGACTAGCTAGTGTGAGATTCTGTGAATCGTATTCCTTTTTAAACCGGGATTGTTAAGCTTGTACGCTTGAGCGACTGTACGTCGTTTTCAGTTTGTTGTGTATAAGAGACTCTTTAAGTATAAAGCTTTCTCTGTTTAGGAGTGCTAAGTAGCTCCGCAATAGACGGAGTGTCAAAAAATTATGCGGACAGACCAGGATATTTCAGTCTACACATACCCAAACAAGTGAGAGCGGTATCCAAGTACGTTGAAGGTGCTGGGTCACGCTCACGCTGCATTCCCGCATTTTTGAGTATTCTGAAAATTATACGTCCAGCATGCTTTCACTGTCGCCCATGTGATATTAACAGATCCGACAGAGGGGTACCTGCCTGCATAAATAAATTAGCTCAGAGATCAAATACGTACTCTTCTTTGTGGAAGTGCACGTGGCATTCCTATCCCACAGGGACTACGTCAGTCTTTGTATCGTGGGACGATCTAATGGCGCAGATCATCATTAACTGGATAGACATTGTGTGACTTTCCATTACATTAATCACAGATACCGTGGCTGGATACGAAGGTCTGATTTTCAGTCTTCTGATATTACTGGACATCACCTTTGCTCCATTAATGTTGCTAGATCCAGCCAAGTCATCGACGACAGATGCGCAACCGGAAGCCGCTCAGAACAAGCTATCTTGAACACATAACTGCCATATGTAGCAATGGTAGATTGAAGATACGTTGTTAACTGGTCGCATCATCTGCAAAAATTTCAAGTGAATCGCCGATGGAATAGCAGCCTGGACATGGATACGCAATCAAGTGTAATAGTACACCAAGCCACTGTGTTTCGACTACCACTAGCCTGGAAGGCAATTGCGTCCCACATGGGTCAAGACTTAGGTCATTACGAAGATAACGCAAGCACAGGGTCGGTAACCCCGGTATAGGAGATCAGTGCATCTCAAATAGCGTTTTATGCGAAGTGCGTTTATCAGCATCTTTAGTAGATATATCGTCAACAGAAACGGATGTGATCCCCGCTTCAGCCCAGTATTTCGGGTCGTTGAAACACTGAAGCTGCAAAATTGTGAATGCCTAGCAAAACTTTTTCAAGGTGCTATGTAACTTTATTTAAAAAGAGAATTTGTATCTGATGTAATAATCATGTAACAATGACTGCAGTTGCCCTCATCCGTTGACGAATCGAACGAATCAGTGTTTTAAGCACATTTCTGGTAGTTCTCGTACAGACGCATCTGTCATCCATCGTCAGTGAGCGAGTGAAAGCTAACTGATGGATGACTGATGATGCGTCACCAAGTACAGTGAATCAGTGACTTCCGCGATTCATGATTCGCGCCCACATCGGTGGTCTGCTGCGTATTCATCCGTGGGTGACCAGTCCTTCGAATCTACAAAGAAGTCGGAGTTTCGTCTTTGCAAGTTATCAACGCGGATAATGCTCCGAGTGTGCATTCAATAGCTCCGGAGATCCATTCGAGGAATCCATTCTAGAGATCCAATCTTCTAGAGATCCATGATGTTGTGAACCAGATGCTTGCATCGAGGAATGATGTCGCGTCTAGGCAGCCGGTGCTTTGGATGAGGACTCATTACAGGTGATCCAAAGCCTCGCACGTTATTTCATGCATGGATGCTGTGTAGTTGGCGTAGTGTATGTTCGATCGATCTTGTACGTTCATCCTTACCTTCATCTCTCCGCAGCGTCCAAACGAGACCAGTCTTGAGTATTGCCAAACACAACCTTTGTCGTCAATAGACGACGTGCTGGGTTTCGACACGTATAATCCGAGGCCTCTTTAAGAGCTGTGCCTTGTAAGGTGAGGTAGCTACGCCAGCACTCGTCCATTTCATCTTCAAAACTGACGTTGCGATCTTACAAGTTTTCAAGGATCCTCTCAATTTACATCGCACTCAAGATAGCGCACGCTCACTCCACATGTCACGGTTCGGTTTTGTAATTATCAGACCATGACAACAAAGATAGTCCGTCAATGCATACAAGTCTTTGACCCAAGGCCCCAGGTCACCGGGTTGACCCTACGCTACCGAGCGCTTCGATGCTATGAAGCACACGATGTGTGGTATCGATGGCAGCGCCGAGTGAATTTTTCTATTCTCTTGTTGTCATGCAATACAACGTCAAGGAGTCAGGGATGATCGTGCTCAAAGCCAAGCAGTCAGGGATTGAGGTGGCAACTAAAAAGAAGCAGATTGGAAAGAAGTGACGGTGTTGGCACACTGTTGCTTGCATTATTTTGGCACTGTAGCTTGCATCATTTTGGCACCGTTGCTTGCATCATTTTTGTGCGATCGTTAACTACGAAACAGCTGCAACAAGTAGCGACACGAAGTACTCGGATCCGACTTGACTGCACGATTAGCATCCAGCGTGACGAGCAAGTTCCTGTGACGTGCAGCTGCTATCGACGATAACTTAGCAGTAATAAAGACCGCCAAAAGGAATGCCGAGACCGCACCCGCCACCGTACAAACCCGCACCAAACGTGTTCCAGTAGCCCAACGGATAGGCCCAGCCAAGGAGGCCACCGTGCAAAAAGCCGAAGCGATAGGGTCCATATCCTCCCCAGCCTCCCCAACTGCCCCAGCCGCCGAGGCCGCCCCCAACCACCGAGGCCTCCACCAAAGAACTCCTTCTTGTCGTCATCGTCTTCTTTCTCATCCATGTTGTTCTTGCCAACATGCTTGCTCTCACGGACGTCGGCTTCCTTGGTGGCAACCGCAGCAGCTGAAGCAGGTGGGTCAATCTTCTCCGTCGTACCAGTTAGCGTGACGCCATCGGGTAAGGCGGACGCCTGGACCTTCTCTAGCGCCTCCGCGGACGTTTTCACGACAGGTTGGTCGGCTGAAGTGACGACACCGAGCAACGCGATGGCAGCGACGAGGAAGGTGGAGAATTTCATGGCCTCGGAGTGAATGCGATCGGTGTGCGTGCAGCTCGAAGGGAAGGTACTCAGTGATCTCGTTTGGAAGCGAATTGCGTTGTGAGTGCTGACAATGACTGCGGTTGCCCTCATCCGTTGACGATACGAACGACTCAGTCTTCCAAGCACATTTCTGGTAGTTCTCGTACAGACGTATTTGTCATCCATCGTCAGTGAGCGAGTGAAAGCTGACTGATGGATGCCTGATGATGCGTCACCGAGTACAGTGAATCAGTGACTTCCTCGATTCACGATTCGCGCCCATGTCGGTGGTCTGCTGCGTATTCATCCGTGGGTGACCAGTCCTTCGAATCTACAAAGAAGTCGGAGTTTCGTCTTTGCAAGTTATGGAACGCGGATAATGCTCCGAGTGTGCATTCAATAGCTCCAGGGATCCATTCGAGAAATTCAATCTAGAGATCCATTCTCCAGAGATCCATGATTTTGTGAACCAGATGCGTGCATCGAGGAATGATGTCGCGTCCAGGCAGCCGGTGCTTTGGATGAGGACTCATTGTAGGTGATCCAAAGCCTCGCACATTATTCCATACATAGATGCTGTGTAGTTGGCGTAGTGTATGTTCGATCGATCTTGTACGTTCATCCTTACATTCATCCCTCCCCAGCGTCCGAACGAGACAAGTCGTGAGTATTGCCAAACACAACCTTTGTCGTCAATAGGCCACGTGCTGGGTTTCGACACGTATAATCCGAGGCCTCTTTAAGAGCTGTGCCTTGTAAGGTGAGGTAGGCACGCCAGCACTCGTCCATTTCATCTTCAAATATGACGTTGCGATCTTACATGTTATCAAGGATCCTCTCAATTTACATCGCACTCAAGACAGCGCACGCTCACTCCACATGTCACGGTTCGGCTTTGTAATTATCAGACCATGACAACAGATAGTCCGTTAATGCATACAAGTCTTTGACCCAAGGCCCCAGGTCACCGGATTGACCCTACGCTACCGAGCGCTTCGATGCTGTGAAGCATACGATGTGTGGTATCGATGGCAGCGCCAGTGAATTTGTTCGTTCTCTTGTTGTCATGCTAAACAACTTCAAGGAGTCAGGGATGATCGTGCTCAACGCCAAGCAGTCAGGGATTGTGGTGGCAACTAAAAAGAAGCGGATTGTGGTGGCAACGAAAAAGAAGTGACGGTGTTGGCACACTGTTGCTTGCATTATTTTGGCACTGAAGCATGCATCATTTTGGCACCGTTGCTTGCATCATTTTCGCGCAATCGTTAACTACGAAACAGCTTCAACAAGTAGCGACACGAAGTACTCGGATCCGACTTGACTGCACGATTAGCATCCAGCGTGACGAGCAAGTTCCTGTGACGTGCAGCTGCTATCGACGATAACTTAGCAGTAATAAAGACCGCCAAAAGGAATGCCGAGGCCGCATCCACCACCGAATAGACCCGAACCAAATGTGTTCCAGTAACCCAACGGGTACGCCCAGCCGCCGATCCCGCCGTACATAAAGCCGAAGCGGTAGGGTCCGTAGCCGCCCCAGCCGCCCCAATTGCCCCAACCACCGAGGCCGCCCCAACCACCGAGGCCTCCGCCAAAGAACTCCTTCTTGTCGTCATCGTCTTCTTTCTCATCCATGTTGTTCTTGCCAACATGCTTGCTCTCACGGACGTCGGCTTCCTTGGTGGCAACCGCAGCAGCTGAAGCAGGTGGGTCGATCTTCTCCGTTGTTCCGGTCAGTGTGACGCCAGCTGGTAAAGCGGATGCCTGGACCTTCTCTAGCGCCTCCGCGGACGTTTTCACGACAGGTTGGTCGGCTGAAGTGACGACACCGAGCAACGCGATGGCAGCGACGAGAAAGGTGGTGCATTTCATGGCCTCGGAGTGAATGCGATCGGTGTGCGTGCAGCTCGAAGGGAAGGTAATCAATACTCTCGGTTGGAAGCGAATTGCGTTGTGAGTAGTGACATTGACTGCGGTTGCCCTCATCCGTTGACGATACGAACGACTCAGTCTTCCAAGCACATTTCTGGTAGTTCTCGTACAGACGTGTTTGTCATCCATCGTCAGTGAGCGAGTGAAAGCTGACTGATGGATGACTGATGATGCGTCACCGAGTACAGTGAATCAGTGACTTCCTCGATTCATAATTCGCGCCCATATCGGTGATCTGCTGCGTATTCATCCGTGGGTGACCAGTCCTTCGAATCTACAAAGATGTCGGAGTTTCGTCTTTGCAAGTTATCAACGCGGATAATGCTCCGAGTGTGCATTCAATAGCTCCAGAGATCCATTCGAGAAATCCATTCTAGAGATCCATTCTTCCAGAGATTCATGATTTTGTGAACCAGATGCGTGCATCGAGGAATGGTGTCGCGTCCAGGCAGCCGGTGCTTTGGATGAGGACTCATTACAGGTGATCCAAAGCCTCGCACATTTTTCCATACATGGATGCTGTGTAGTTGGCGTAGTGTATGTTCGATCGATCTTGTACGTTCATCCTTACATTCATCCCTCCCCAGCGTCCGAACGAGACAAGTCGTGAGTATTGCCAAACACAACCTTTGTCGTCAATAGGCCACGTGCTGGGTTCCGACACGTATAATCCGAGGCCTCTTTTGGAGCTGTTCCTTGTAAGGTGAGGTAGGCACGCCAGCACTCGTCCATTTCGTCTTCAAATATGACGTTGCGATCTTACATGTTATCAAGGATCCTCTCAATTTACATCGCGCTCGAGACAGCGCAAGCTCACTCCACATGTCACGGTTCGGTTTTGTAATTATCAGACCATGACAACAAAGATAGTCCGTTAATGCATACAAGTCTTTGACCCAAGGCCCCAGGTCACCGGATTGACCCTACGCTACCGAGCGCTTCGATGCTGTGAAGCATACGATGTGTGGTATCGATGGCAGCGCCAGTGAATTTGTTTGTTCTCTTGTTGTCATGCTATACAACGTCAAGGAGTCAGGGATGATCGTGCTAAACGCCAAGCAGTCAGGGATTGTGGTGGCAACTCATAAGAAGCGGATTGTGGTGGCAACGAAAAAGAAGTGACGGTGTTGGCACACTGTTGCTTGCATTATTTTGGCACTGAAGCATGCATCATTTTGGCACCGTTGCTTGCATCATTTTTGTGCAATCGTTAACTACGAAACAGCTGCAACAAGTAGCGACACGAAGTACTCGGATCCGACTTGACTGCACGATTAGCATCCAGCGTGACGAGCAAGTTCCTGTGACGTGCAGCTGCTATCGACGATAACTTAGCAGTAATAAAGACCGCCAAAAGGAATGCCGAGGCCGCATCCACCACCGAATAGACCCGAACCAAATGTGTTCCAGTAACCCAACGGGTACGCCCAGCCGCCGATCCCGCCGTACATAAAGCCGAAGCGGTAGGGTCCGTAGCCGCCCCAGCCGCCCCAATTGCCCCAACCACCGAGGCCGCCCCCAACCACCGAGGCCTCCGCCAAAGAACTCCTTCTTGTCGTCATCGTCTTCTTTCTCATCCATGTTGTTCTTGCCAACATGCTTGCTCTCACGGACGTCGGCTTCCTTGGTGGCAACCGCAGCAGCTGAAGCAGGTGGGTCGATCTTCTCCGTTGTTCCGGTCAGTGTGACGCCAGCTGGTAAAGCGGATGCCTGGACCTTCTCTAGCGCCTCCGCGGACGTTTTCACGACAGGTTGGTCGGCTGAAGTGACGACACCGAGCAACGCGATGGCAGCGACGAGAAAGGTGGTGCATTTCATGGCCTCGGAGTGAATGCGATCGGTGTGCGTGCAGCTCGAAGGGAAGGTACTCAATACTCTCGGTTGGAAGCGAATTGCGTTGTGAGTGCTGACAATGACTGCGGTTGCCCTCATCCGTTGACGATACGAACGACTCAGTCTTCCAAGCACATTTCTGGTAGTTCTCGTACAGACGTGTTTGTCATCCATCGTCAGTGAGCGAGTGAAAGCTGACTGATGGATGACTGATGATGCGTCACCGAGTACAGTGAATCAGTGACTTCCTCGATTCACGATTCGCGCCCATGTCGGTGGTCTGCTGCGTATTCATCCGTGGGTGACCAGTCCTTCGAATCTACAAAGAAGTCGGAGTTTCGTCTTTGCAAGTTATGAACGCGGATAATGCTCCGAGTGTGCATCTCAATAGCTCCAGAGATCCATTCGAGAAATCCATTCTAGAGATCCATTCCAGAGATTCATGATTTTGTGAACCAGATGCGTGCATCGAGGAATGATGTCGCGTCCAGGCAGCCGGTGCTTTGGATGAGGACTCATTACAGGTGATCCAAAGCCTCGCACATTATTCCATACATGGATGCTGTGTAGTTGGCGTAGTGTATGTTCGATCGATCTTGTACGTTCATCCTTACATTCATCCCTCCCCAGCGTCCGAACGAGACCAGTCTTGAGTATTGCCAAACACAACCTTTGTCGTCAATAGGCCACGTGCTGGGTTTCGACACGTATAATCCGAGGCCTCTTTAAGAGCTGTGCCTTGTAAGGTGAGGTAGGTACGCCAGCACTCGTCCATTTCATCTTCAAATCTGACGTTGCGATCTTACATGTTATCAAGGATCCTCTCAATTTACATCGCACTCAAGACAGCGCACGCTCACTCCACATGTCACGGTTCGGTTGGTTCGGTTTTGTAATTATCAGACCATGACAACAAAGATAGTCCGTCAATGCATACAAGTCTTTGACCCAAGGCCCCAGGTCACCGGATTGACCCTACGCTACCGAGCGCTTCGATGCTGTGAAGCATACGATGTGTGGTATCGATGGCAGCGCCAGTGAATTTGTTCTGTTCTCTTGTTGTCATGCAATGCAACGTCAAGGAGTCAGGGATGATCGTGCTAAACGCCAAGCAGTCAGGGATTGTGGTGGCAACTAAAAAGAAGCAGATTGGGGGAGAAAAGAAGTGACGGTGTTGGCACACTGTTGCTTGCATTATTTTGGCACTGAAGCTTGCATCATTTTGGCACCGTTGCTTGCATCATTTTTCGTGCGATCGCTAACTACGAAACAGCTGCAACAAGTAGCGACACGAAGTACTCGGATCCGACTTGACTGCACGATTAGCATCCAGCGTGACGAGCAAGTTCCTGTGACGTGCAGCTGCGATCGACGATAACTTAGCAGTAATAAAGACCGCCAAAAGGAATGCCGAGGCCGCATCCACCACCGAATAGACCCGAACCAAATGTGTTCCAGTAACCCAACGGGTACGCCCAGCCGCCGATCCCGCCGTACATAAAGCCGAAGCGGTAGGGTCCGTAGCCGCCCCAGCCGCCCCAATTGCCCCAACCACCGAGGCCGCCCCAACCACCGAGGCCTCCGCCAAAGAACTCCTTCTTGTCGTCATCGTCTTCTTTCTCATCCATGTTGTTCTTGCCAACATGCTTGCTCTCACGGACGTCGGCTTCCTTGGTGGCAACCGCAGCAGCTGAAGCAGGTGGGTCGATCTTCTCCGTTGTTCCGGTCAGTGTGACGCCAGCTGGTAAAGCGGATGCCTGGACCTTCTCTAGCGCCTCCGCGGACGTTTTCACGACAGGTTGGTCGGCTGAAGTGACGACACCGAGCAACGCGATGGCAGCGACGAGAAAGGTGGTGCATTTCATGGCCTCGGAGTGAATGCGATCGGTGTGCGTGCAGCTCGAAGGGAAGGTACTCAGTTATCTCGGTTGGAAGCGAATTGCGTTGTGAGTGCTGACAATGACTGCGGTTGCCCTCATCCGTTGACGATACGAACGACTCAGTCTTCCAAGCACATTTCTGGTAGCTCTCGTACAAACGTATTTGTCATCCATCGTCAGTGAGCGAGTGAAAGATGACTGATGGATGAATGATGATGCGCCACCGAGTATGGTGAATCAGTGACTTCCTCGATTCATCGTTCGCGCCCACATCGGTGGTCTGCTGCGTATTCATCCGTGGGTGACCAGTCCTTCGAATCTACAAAGAAGTCGGAGTTTCGTCTTTGCAAGTTATCAACGCGGATAATGCTCCGAGTGTACACTCAATCAATAGCTCTAGAGATCCATTCGAGAAATCCATTCTAGAGATCCATAGAGATCCATTCTTCCAGAGATCCATGATTTTGTGAACCAGATGCGTGCATCGAGGAAGGATGTCGCGTCTAGGCAGCCGGTGCTTTGGATGAGGACTCATTGTAGGTGATCCAAAGCCTCGCACGTTATTCCATACATGGATGCTGTGTAGTTGGCGTAGTGTATGTTCGATCGATCTTGTACGTTCATCCTTACATTCATCCCTCCCCAGCGTCCGAACGAGACCAGTCGTGAGTATTGCCAAACACAACCTTTGTCGTCAATAGGCCACGTGCTGGGTTTCGACACGTATAATCCGAGGCCTCTTTAAGAGCTGTGCCTTGTAAGGTGAGGTAGGTACGCCAGCACTCGTCCATTTCGTCTTCAAATCTGACGTTGCGATCTTACATGTTATCAAGGATCCTCTCAATTTACATCGCACTCAAGACAGCGCACGCTCACTGCACATGTCACGGTTCGGTTGGTTCGGTTTTGTGATCAACAGACCATGACAACAAAGATAGTCCGTCAATGCATACAAGTCTTTGACCCAAGGCCCCAGGTCACCGGATTGACCCTACGCTACCGAGCGCTTCGATGCTATGAAGCATACGATGTGTGGTATCGATGGCAGCGCCAGTGAATTTTTTGTGTTCTTTTGTTGTCATGCAATACAACGTCAAGGAGTCAGGGGTGATCGTGCTAAACGCCAAGTAGTCAGGGATTGTGGTGGCAACTAAAAAGAAGCAGATTGGAAAGAAGTGACGGTGTTGGCACACTGTTGCTTGCATTATTTTGGCACTGAAGCTTCAT